CGTTTGAGTGATCTCAAACTAAAAAATGAAACTGGTAGATATATCAAAGCACCAACCCAATTGGAAAAACGTCCCTGTAAAACATGTGATGTCTTAGAAGATGAGCAACATTATGCAATGTCTTGTATAACATACAACCAAGAAAGAGAATCACAAACAACCTTCAATCATGATAAAGGATTTGGTACACTCTGTTAAAAGGAACAATTCTTACTAATTTCTAACAACAGTTATCCAGAAACAGTTTCCAAAATCTGTTATCATATCTTCAATTATAAACAAATGCCTTTTATGTCTAACATTACCATAGTTTTGCTCAATTCTCATATTGTTTCCATATCATTATAATTCACTTGTTTCAAAATAAACTGGTTATAATGTGCCTCCTGTGTATGTTGAATGTATCTGTGTGTTTTGCACTTATTGTGCATATATTTTGTAGTTTGTGATAGTGCACTATTGCCACTGTTTCTATACGGAATGTTACGCAATACATATTTCATCTAAAACATCTTTGTTGTATGATAGTTTGTTACAGTTGTGTACGGGGGCACGGTTGGCCCAATCGCCTAAGCCGCTGCAATTCGTTATGCAAAGTTGTGTCCCCTGGGCCGCTAGAAATCTATGACTGCGTGCTCGAATCCGGGTTCGCCCCGATTATGTTGTCAGTTTATCCGTGCTCGTGGGTTTCACCCAAGTGGTGAACGTCTAAGACCTGCATCACTTCGGGCTTTCCTCGGAGCCATTCTCATTGTCTGCCTGAATAATATACGATACATTGCAAAGTTAGTCGGACATTGGAGATAATCACTCACTCTCAGTGATAGAGCTTGAATAAGATACGATGTACAGCATTTCAAGGTCACGCGTGATAAAGCCCTATACTACGGGTATAGCTACAGGAGATAATCGCTTAATGCGCAATAGTTTATTCTTACAAAATTTTGGCCGGTTAAGTTTAGCGAAAGGAGATATATCTCCCCTGAACAGTTTTAGCTCTTTCAAAAACAAAATGAACAAATTGCATGGATTATGTACAATACGAAACATGACTAAGTCATAGATTGGTTAAAACATGTCCAGATTAAGTCACTGTCATTCCATTTTAAAAACTCCAAAGGTTTCAGAGAATCCAACATGGCGCCCTACTTCAGTCAATAACAAACTAACCCTTATACCCTAAGTATATCGTCTGTAACCCCAGCTGGAGCCAACTGGTAGCATATATCACAGACTGTCATTATACACTACAAAATATTACATCAAGATGGCAGTTTCGATGTAAAGATTAAGTATTTCTAAGCAACTTAAAGATATGTACAGTATCTACTTAATCTTAACATGTAAACTGTAACCCCAGCTGGAGCCATCTTGTAGCATATATCACAGACTGTCATTATACAATACAAAATATTCCATCAAGATGGCAGTTTCCATGTAAAGATTAAGTATTTCTAAGCAACTTAAAGATATGTACAGTATGTACTTAATCTTTACATGTAAACTGCCAACTTGATGTATTATTCTGTTTTGTATATTGACAGTTTGTGATTATTTGTTACCAGATGGGTCAAGCTCTGGTAGCAGACGACACACTTACCAACAATGGGGAACAGAGTAAAAAAAAATCTAAAATATGAACAGGCTGCTTATCATCGAACTCTAGCTGGGCAAGCAGACGAATCACCAGCCTAAGATGTATTGAAAAACACAATTAATTCTCAATCTTATCTAATGTTAATTCAATAATTTATCACATACTTAGCAGTGGTATATTCTGTTGATAATCTCTCATAATTATATTGAATAGTTCTGTACATTCTATCAATGTTTATCTGTACAAAACGGTTTTATGTATGTGAGTGAGTATGGTTTTACGCCGCTTTTAGCAATATTCCAGCAATATCACGGCGGGGGACACCAGGAATGGGCCTCACACAGTGTACCCATGTCGGGAATCGAACCCGGGTCTTCGGCGTGACGAGCGAACGCTTTAACCACCAGGCTACCCGACCGCCCCTTTTATGTACGTACAGAAGTGAGACACTCATAAACTATTGTCTATCTCTCTACATTACTTACCGTACAATTAAACCGACAGCTCAGCACAAACCGATTTTAACACTTTCAAGTGATTATAACATAGAAGTCACCACCAGTACAATCACCCCCGACTGCTAATCTGCTGTGTGCATTTGACCATAATGTCTTCTCACATACCAAGCACCGCGCCAGCAAAAGTACCAGACGCCTTAGTCGCTTACCTGTCAATACCACTGCAAGGAGAGTACGCTACCCCGCTAACAGTGTGGAGTACTTATTAAACATCCCAGTCATGTTACACGCCACTATATCAGTTTTATTTGAAACTTGATAATAATATTAATCGACTTACAAAAACTGCATTTTGCACATACAGAACAATTATATAACAATACATAGCAAATATTCCACTTTACCAACATTTACAAAGAAACATGATCAACTTAAACACTGCATTTTGCACATACATGATAATTATATACGAATACATAGCAATTATCTCCCTTTACCAATGCATCCAAAGAAAAAGATTTGTGTGGATATATCATATATACAACATTGTATATGTTTTGATATATCATCTATCCAAAATTGTTTATTCTTTTGATATATCATCTATCCAAAGCATATACAATATCGTATATCTGGATGTTTTTCAGTGGTGGTAGCGCAAATTTTCACATGATCATAAAAAAATCTGACATTACATATCTTTGTTTTTCCAGGTATATGTTGGTCCCATGCGATGTTTGATGAGTCGTGTATGAATATTACTTGACTAAATTGTACGAACACAACGTCTTCTGGACGATTACCAATGGCTATCGATCCATGTGATCTGAGATATTCAATACAGTCATGTTCTTGTGGTATGTTTCTTATTCCTCGGGTCTGTACTAGGACATCAGCTCGAAAAAGCTTTATTATTTAAAGCCCAACACACTTACACAAGGCAATGTAGCAAATATCATATTCAAGTACCATTCAGACACCAACAAGCATCTCAACCGTCCCAGCATCATATAAAAAACATACAACACTTCCGTGCGAGTTATTGCAGTGTCACGAATCGAGACTTGTGATTACTGGCTGTTTACAGAAGCAGTATGAGAGTCACCAATGTCAGGCGGTACAGAGGCCCTGCATCGGGCGGTTTAGCGATACCTTGTAGCAGGCGGTATAAGGGTGCCCTTACCAAGCGGTATACCGATACCCTTTATCAGAAGGTATATGGATACCATGTGTCAGACGGTCTAGCGATATCCTGTATCAGAAGGTATATGGATACCCTGTGTCAGACGGTCTAGCGATATCCTGTATCAGAAGGTATATGGATAACCTGTGTCAGACGGTCTAGCGATATCCTGTATCAGAAGGTATATGGATACCATGTGTCAGACGGTCTAGCGATACCCTTTATCAGAAGGTATATGGATACCCTGTGTCAGACGGTATACCGATATCCTGTATCAGAAGGTATATGGATACCCTTTGTCAAACGGCCTAGCGATACCCTTTATCAGAAGGTATATGGATACCCTGTGTCAGACGGTCTAGCGATACCCTTTATCAGAAGGTATATGGATAACCTGTGTCAGACGGTCTAGCGATATCCTGTATCAGAAGGTAAATGGATAACCTGTGTCAGACGGTCTAGCGATATCCTGTATCAGAAGGTATATGGATACCCTGTGTCAGACGGTCTAGCGATATCCTGTATCAGAAGGTATATGGATAACCTGTGTCAGACGGTATACCGATATCCTGTATCAGAAGGTATATGGATAACCTGTGTCAGACGGTCTAGCGATATCCTGTATCAGAAGGTATATGGATAACCTGTGTCAGACGGTCTAGAGATATCCTGTATCGGAAGGTATATGGATAACCTGTGTCAGACGGTCTAGCGATATCCTGTATAAGAAGGTATATGGATAACCTGTGTCAGACGGTCTAGCGATATCCTGTATCAGAAGGTATATGGATAACCTGTGTCAGACGGTCTAGCGATATCCTGTATCAGAAGGTATATGGATAACCTGTGTCAGAAGGTATATGGATAACCTGTGTCAGACGGTCTAGCGATACCTTTTATCTGAAGGAATATAGATACCTTGTCCCAGCTTCAATATAAGGCGGTACTGAGTCGCAGCTTCAATATAAGGCGGTACTGAGTCCCAGCTTCAATATAAGGCGGTACTGAGTCCCAGCTTCAATATAGGGCGGTATTTAGTCGCAGCTTCAATATAAGGCGCTACTGAGTCGCAGCTTTAAAATAAGGCGGTACTGAGTCCAAACTTCAATATAAGGCGGTACTGAGTCCCAGCCTCAATATAATGCAGTATTGAGTCCCAGCTTTAATATAAGGCGGTACTGAGTCTCAGCTTCAATATAGGGCGGTATTGAGTCGCAGCTTCAATATAAGGCGGTACTGAGTCTCAGCTTCAAAATAAGGCGGTACTGAGTCCCAGCCTCAATATAAGGCAGTATTGAGTCCCAGCTTCAATATAAGGCGGTATTGAGTTCCAGCTTCAATATAAGGCGGTACTGAGTGCCAGCTTCAATTGAAGGCGGTATTGAGTCCTAGCTTCAATTGAAGGCGGTATTGAGTGCCAGCTTCAATATAAGGCGGTAATGAGTCCCAGCTTCAATTGAAGGCGGTATTGAGTCCCAGCTTCAATATAAGGCGGTACTGAGTCCCAGCTTCAATTGAAGGCGGTATTGAGTCCTAGCTTCAAAATAAGGCGGTATTGAGTCTCAGCTTCAATTGAAGGCGGTACTGATTCTCAGTTTCAACATAGGCGATACTGAGTGGCCGCTTTAATATAAGGCGGTACTGAGTCCAAGCTTCAATATAAGGCGGTACTAAGTCTCAACTTCAATATACGGCGGTGTGCTCTTAGCCAAAAACCCGACGCACAAGGAGTAGATCGAAAAGAAAGTAAAGGACAAAGACATTCACCAAACTATTTATTGACATACACAATATGTTTAAATGATCCCACGGTTGACAACAAAGACACATAAACAAGAATTGTTCATAAGGCAGACATGGTGTCGATTGTCGATTGTTGCCGAACAAGTCAAGCAGGTGACGCTCACACACAATACCGCTTCAACACCTGGCCACAAACACCACAATAAGCACTAGCGCACACACACACTGGCGTACACACACTCGTTGAGCACAAGACTTGAGCAGGGTTTTCGGACGTATACCCGTATTTACAAGCATCTGACATCGGGCTAGATGGCAACAACTGGCATCTGTTCCATGTTCAAAAGTTTTCGGTACAGCTGACCGTTTAGAAAAATACAAAATACATGGGCGGATCCAGAGAGTGGGAAAACCAAATGTAGTATGTTGTGGGCAGTAGCGAGGACTGAGAGAGGATTTTCATAATTTAGACCCCTCCCTTCAAAAATGCTGGATCCGCCCTTGAAAAAACCCAGTTCGAAACCCCATAATCTAACATATTGTGACAGTTAAATTGTACTCTTAAAAATCATGTGCAATAATATCGTTTGACAACTGCATATTTCTACAGTAATTATCATTCATTCATAAATTTCTTAGTCTGCCACCCTATCAGACTTCGCAGGTTCCAGTTGTAGCTGCAGGCAATCAGGTGCTGGTGGCTTTGTAGCGTAAATCACCATGTTGTAACCATCCATTGACTGTGACACTTTCATATAAAAACATACAACACATCCGTGCGCGTGATTGGAGTGAAACGAAACTTTTGATTACTGGCTGTTACGGAAGCAGTATTTTGTTGAACGGGCCCTAAATTCTATACATGCGTGATATTTTCATATTCCTCCATCACTGGATTTCAAGGACGCTAAAACTATGGAATCCTCACACGACCTCACGTGCCCACAGACAAAGATGTGCCAGGCATGTCATACAGTTGAGGGTCAAACTTCACCATTCACAGACAACCGTCCTCGTGACACGTAAACTCTCCCGGGTTATCTGCTTCCTCACTCGTTGACAGTCAGCGTCATGCGTCAGTCAAAAATGAATACATATTTTTTACGCCGCATCAGCAGATTTGAAGCTATTTCCGGCTTGCGCCGATCAGAATCACAACTAGTCTAACAGTAGCATCTGAACCGATGGTAGAAACACACGATAAGGGCGAGTTGACAAACATGAATAGCCCCAACTGTGTAATTCAGCCCCAGTCGTAAGAGAATAATCCCTACTGTTTGTGCGATACAAAATGGATCCCTGTTGTCATGACAGCGAATGTATGATACTGCCTGACATGTCAGTAAAGTCAAAGTGTCGTCACACATATAACTAATGTTTCAGAGTGGTATAATGGTATTGATGTCGAATACTGAAAGAATATCTCTGTGACGTCGAAATGACGTCAGGTCACAGACACATTCAGTGTCTGAGCGACATTAAAACACACATCACTGTAGTAGCCATTGCGCATGTACGGATGTTGACCCCGTGGATGGACGGAGCCTGGTTTGGTGCTGGAGAGGAAGCGCCCCCTGCCGGCTGGAGACCGGGGTTGTTCGATGTGTAGCGCGTCGTGTAACGACCTGAAACATTGAAAATAGCACTTGGTGCTTGCTGCTGGAACATACGCACAGAGGGACGAGGTACTGCAGCTTGTCTCATGAAAGTGATATCGTAAGACCGGACATGTTTGTAAAACAATCAGGCAAGCCTAAAGTGTCGAGAACATTATTAAGACATCTGCCCAGCTTACAATTACATATCTGTTAGGTACCAAGTTGTAGAATAACTACAAGCCTATGCAAGCTCTAGTTCCTTTATTGTTCGTCTCGATTGCACATTACATGTGGTTACGTTTCCATTTTTCTGGAACCAAGGGAGGTAACTCCCAAAACTATGTGTCAGCTGTGACAGTTCAGCGGTAGCGACACTACAATATCACTTCCTGATTTCCTCATTGAAATACTACATGACAGATGGGGTCGGGGTGTGAGATGGCATTTCACGCCTGGTTGTTTTCATACAGTGAAGGGTGTTTCATGGCAAGGAAAGGAGGTAGGAGCAAATATAGAGGGAGTGGTTGACAGCAAGTAAAAAAGGTAGAAGGCATATGTAGAGGGGCTTGTTTGATTTCAAGGACATTCCTTCGACTCTACTCACTATTCCCCGGGTTGTTGATGCGTGCTCCTTGGCCGGCGTGCTGGCACTCACTGGGGTTGCCGCGTCTGGAAGAACGTAGACGACAATGACATGTGACCACTTTGCAGTACATGGAGAAACACACGAAACTCAGCTCATCTGCCGCACTCCTTCAGTCCTTGCAGCCCTCCTTACCATCTCAACTTGTACACCTCCCCACCCTCCCAGCACTCCTTTACCGTGCCGGGTCTTTCAGCTTGCACACCTCCCCACCCTCCCAGCACTCCTTTACCGTGCCGGGTCTATCAGCTTGCACACCTCCCCACCCTCCCAGCACTCCTTTACCGTGCCGGGTCTATCAGCTTGCACACCTCCCCACCCTCCCAGCTCTCCTTACCGTGCCGGGTCTATCAGCTTGTACACCTCCCTACCCTCCCTGCACTCCTTATCGTCCTGGGTCTATCAGCTTGTACACCTCCCCACCCTCCCAGCACTCCTTATCGTCCTGGGTCTATCAGCTTGTACACTTCCCCACCCTCCCAGCACTCCTTATCGTCCTGGGTCTATCAGCTTGTACACTTCCCCACCCTCCCAGCACTCTTTACCGTGCCGGGTCTATCAGCTTGCACACCTCCCCACCCTCCCAGCACTCCTTATCGTCCTGGGTCTATCAGCTTGCACACCTCCCCACCCTCCCAGCTCTCCTTACCGTGCCGGGTCTATCAGCTTGCACACCTCCCCACCCTCCCAGCTCTCCTTACCGTGCCGGGTCTATCAGCTTGCACACCTCCCCACCCTCCCAGCTCTCCTTATCGTCCTGGGTCTATCAGCTTGTACACCTCCCCACCCTCCCAGCTCTCCTTATCGTCCTGGGTCTATCAGCTTGTACACCTCCCCACCCTCCCAGCTCTCCTTACCGTGCCGGGTCTATCAGCTTGTACACCTCCCCACCCTCCCAGCACTCCTTACCGTGCCGGGTCCATCAGCTTGTACACCTCCCCACCCTCCCAGCACTCCTTACCGTGACGGGTCTATCAGCTTGTACACCTTGCCACCCCTTTCAGCCGCAGACTCGGTTCCAGTCGAGAGTAAATAAACTTCTCCTGAAATAAGAACACGTTGATATTGACGATACTTCATAGTTTGATTTAAATGATTTTTTTTTCATTATTGACCAATCAGTGATGTTCTCACCTTCTTCATCCTCGCCAAAGGAAATGACGTAACGCTCGTAGTGACCAATCAAACCGTTGAAACAGACGTCAGCCTCGCACATGAATATTTCTTTGTTGTGCCATTCGCCGGATTCATTCTTCGTCAGAGCGTACATCTGCCTATTTGATAAAACAACGCAGGAATGTCAATTTTTTCTGCAGGTGACCCTCATGCAAATTATGCATTAGTTACAGTGCAGCTTGCTGCTTGCAAAACCAATTGTCTTGCAAAATGTGATGAATGTATGAAAGCCTGAAACCGTCAGTGTTGCCATCAAGTACGGAACGCATTCAGCATGACTGCTATTTCCATGAGGACCATTAACGCTGTATCGTCAGTCCATATAAAGGGGTCTTGTACACATCCCACCAGACTTTGTGACTTGTTGTCCTTACACTGACATTGCAGTAGTAGCCTAGGAGGAGGACACCACCTACCCGAACATGTAGTCGGCGTAGAAGTACATGCCGTTGAGGTTGGGGCTCTCACATCCGCGGTAGAAGACCCCGCCCGTCACAGACTTGCCCACTCGGTGGGGGTAGGCAAAGATCGGCAACTCTTCTGGACCTGAAAGATTAGAAATCAATGATTCTTCCCGACCGACGAACACACGAGTGAATACAGCATTAGAAGGGATAACTGATCTGTGCCGGGTACACGAAGCTCTGAATACATTTCACGTACATCCAAAACTAGTGAGTTACTCCCGGACTTAGAGGTATAGGCTGCTGGGGCCCGTGACCCATGACCTCTAACCTTCAACACACATGTTCGCACATCATTACTTAATGTGTCCATGAGGTGCTGTTTTGAATAGACCATGATGCATATCATAAAAAAGAGCCACCGATAGCTGAAAAATTGTTTACGCTATAATCACTCACACATGATAACAAAACAAAGTCGACTATTCCATGTCTGGGGTTGAAAGAGTAAGATTCCCATGTCCAATGGCATCCTGCTTCATATTAGAGCATTGTATGTTTTACCTATGTTTCCGCACGTTTCTTCATTAAAACACTGGAATCCTTCTCTCGCATTCCATCCATAGTTAGCTCCCTTTTTCACCAGGTCTATCTCTTCCCACGCTGATTGGCCAACGTCTCCGCACACAATCCGACCTCTGCCCTCACCTGTAAGGGGAGGGGCTACATGAAGTTTGTGTATATAGTGCTGTAAGGTGAGGTGAGGTGAGGTGAGGTGAGGTGAGGTGAAATATGATTAACATCACCTCCAACATTATTGCACTTATATAGCGACGTGCATGCACGTGTGTATGTGTGTATGTATGTGTGTGTGGCTGCTTGTACTGGACTGAAGACAGTTTATAATGTTAGCCCACTGAGATACCATGCCGCAGTTTAACATGAATACCCAACTCAGACACAGCAAACTGACTCCAAGCCGGCCAGTCCTTGTTTTAGCCACTTAATTCCCAGCGCTAGACCAGGTAACAACAAGTACCATCTTTTAACGTCTTTTCGTATGATGCGGCCAGTGATCAAAGCCCGGACCTTCCGCTCTCTGGGTGGACGCTCAACCACTAGACCACAGAGCCGGTCTTTAAGAGGAGGGGCTACATGAAGTGTGTGTATGTTGTGCTATAAGGGGAGGGGCTACATGAAGTGTGTGTATGTAGTGCTGTAAGGGGAGGAGCTACATGAAGTGTGTATATGTAGTGCTAAAAGGGGAGGGGCTACATGAAGTGCGTGTATCTAGTGCTGTAAGGGGAGGAGCTACATGAAGTGTGTGTATGCAGTGCTGTAAGGGGAGGGGCTACATGAGGTGTATATGTAGTGCTAAAGCGGGGAGGGGCTACATGAGGTGTGTGTATGTAGTGCTATAAGGGGAGGAGCTACATGAAGTGTATATGTAGTGCTTAAGCGGGGAGGGGCTACATGAGGTGTGTGTATGTAGTGCTGTAAGGGGAGGGGCTACATGAAGTGTGTATATGTAGTGCTATAAGGGGAGGAGCTACATGAAGTGTGTATATGTAGTGCTGTAAGGGGAGGAGCTACATGAAGTGTGTATATGTAGTGCAATAAGGGGGAGGAGCTACATGAAGTGTGTATATGTAGTGCTTTAAGGGGAGGAGCTACATGAAGTGCGTGTATGTAGGGCTAAAACGGGAGGAGCTACATGAAGTGTGTGTATCTAGTGCTGTTAGGGGAGGAGCTACATGAAGTGTGTATATGTAGTGCTGTAAGGGGAGGAGCTACATGAGGTGTGTGTATGAAGTGCTTTAAGGGGGAGGAGCTACATGAAGTGTGTATATCTAGTGCTATAAGGGGGAGGAGCTACATGAAGTGTGCATATGTAGTGCTATAAGGGGAGGAGCTACAAGAAGTGTGTATGTAGTGCTTTAAGGGGAGGGGCTACATGAGGTGTGTGTATGTAGGGCTAAAAGGGGAGGGGCTACATGAAGTGTGTGTATCTAGTGCTTTAAGGGGAGGAGCTACATGAAGTGTGTATATGTAGTGCTATAAGGGGAGGAGCTACATGAAGTGCGTGTATGTAGTGATGTAAGGGGAGGAGCTACATGAAGTGTGTATATGTAGTGCAATAAGGGGGAGGAGCTACATGAAGTGAGTGTATGTAGTGCTATAAGGGGAGGAGCTACATGAAGTGCGTGTATGTAGAGCTGTAAGGGGAGGAGCTACATGAAGTGAGTGTATGTAGTGCTGTAAGGGGAGGACCTACATGAAGTGTGTGTATGTAGTGCTAAAAGGGGGAGGAGCTACATGAAGTGTGTATATCTAGTGCTATAAGGGGGAGGAGCCACATGAAGTGTGTATATGTAGGGCTAAAAGGGGAGGGGCTTCATGAAGTGTGTATATGTAGTGCTATAAGGGGAGGAGCTACATGAAGTGTGTATATGTAGTGCTGTAAGGGGAGGAGCTACATGAAGTGTGTATATGTAGTGCAATAAGGGGGAGGAGCTACATGAAGTGTGTATATGTAGTGCTTTAAGGGGAGGAGCTACATGAAGTGTGTGTATGTAGTGCTGTTAGGGGAGGAGCTACATGAAGTGCGTGTATGTAGTGCTGTAAGGAGAGGAGCTACATGAAGTGTGTGTATGTAGTGCTGTAAGGGGAGGAGCTACATGAAGTGCGTGTATGTAGTGCTATAAGGGGAGGAGCTACATGAAGTGTGTGTTTGTGTAGTGCTATTAGGGGAGGGGCTACATGAAGTGTGTGTTTGTATTGCTAAAAGAGGGGAGGGGGGGGGGGGGGCTACATGAAGCAGTGCTGTGTGGGAACAGCTACATGTGTACAAAGGTCAGCAGGGGGAGGAGCTACATGATGTAGTGTTGTATGAGAACAGCTACATGTGTACAAAGGTCAACAAGGGGAGGGGCTACATGAAGTGTGTGTTTGTATTGCTGTAAGGGGAGGAGCTTTATAAAATCTTGCTATGTGGTAACAGCTACATGTGTACCAAGGTCAGCAGGGGAGGAGCTACACAAGCACAGTGTCCAGTGCCCTACCAGTCTGTCGGTCGCCCCTGTCCTTGCCGCATCTCCAGATGTTCCGAACGCCGTAAGCGTAGATCTCCGGGCGGGCTTCCGGGTCGTCGATGAAGGGGTTGTCGGGGGGAATGGAGTAGGGCAAGCTGGGATTGGGCGTGTCCACATCAAGGCGTAGTATCTTCCCGAGGTGGACCGTCCTGCAGTAACAGACGCAATACATCACTGAACCACATAGATGCATATATGGTTATATGGCAGTGTATTTTATTGTTTGGCGCTGATTTTAACAATGTCACATTGTTTCTGTTGAGATTCGGTATACACTGATTGCAGTGTGTTTGGGCAGTGATCAGTCGTCAGGAAGTTGCTATATTTAGATGCTAGTGTGGTGTGTAAACTTCCGGTTCGGTATACCGCGGACAGTGATAGTATGGTTTGGAAACTTCTTTGATGTTCTGGTGCCGATGGACAGGTGAGGGCACTGTCTGAAACTTCCCAGTGGTTTGGTAGGTTGTATATAAGAGGATAGTATTGAGGGGAATTTAAGGATGTCTTACGCAATTTCATGATATCGGAACCAGCTTTCATGTGAGGATCACACATCATCCCTGATTCCCTGGCTAGCCCATCTCAGAAGCTTGACCACTATCGCCGCTGTTTATCTTAACACAGGTAATTGTTTATCTCAACACAGGAGATTGTTTATCTGATCACGATATATTTTCCAAGATGGAATTATGTTTCATTTCTTTTCGAAATCAATCCAAAAGGATTATTCCAGTCACAGTTGTCCACAACATTTCCTAACCCCCACACACATGACGTAATGTAAAGCATGTCAATCACTGACAGGTGCCAGACACCCTAACCCTCACACACATGACGTAATGTAAGCACGTCAATCACTGACAGGTGCCAGACACCCTAACCCCCACACACATGACGTAATGTAAAGCATGTCAATCACTGACAGGTGCCAGACACCCTAACCCTCACACACCTGACTTAATGTAAAGCATGTCAATCACTGACAGGTGCCAGACACCCTAACCCCCACACACCTGACGTAATGTAAAGCATGTCAATCACTGACAGGTGCCAGACACCCTAACCCCCACACACATGACGTAATGTAAAGCATGTCAATCACTGACAGGTGCCAGACACCCTAACCCCCACACACATGACGTAATGTAAAGCATGTCAATCAATGACAGGTGCCAGACACCCTAACCCTCACACACCTGACTTAATGTAAAGCATGTCAATCACTGACAGGTGCCAGACACCCTAACCCCCACACACCTGACTTAATGTAAAGCATGTCAATCACTGACAGGTGCCAGACACCCTAACCCTCACACACATGACGTAATGTAAAGCATGTCAATCACTGACAGGTGCCAGACACCCTAACCCCCACACACATGACGTAATGTAAAGCATGTCAATCACTGACAGGTGCCAGACACCCTAACCCCCACACACCTGACGTAATGTAAAGCATGTCAATCACTGACAGGTGCCAGACACCCTAACCCTCACACACATGACGTAATGTAAAGCATGTCAATCACTGACAGGTGCCAGACACCCTAACCCTCACACACCTGACTTAATGTAAAGCATGTCAATCACTGACAGGTGCCAGACACCCTAACCCTCACACACCTGACGTAATGTAAAGCATGTCAATCACTGACAGGTGCCAGACACCCTAACCCCCACACACATGACGTAATGTAAAGCATGTCAATCACTGACAGGTGCCAGACACCCTAACCCCCACACACCTGACGTAATGTAAAGCATGTCAATCACTGACAGGTGCCAGACACCCTAACCCCCACACACATGACGTAATGTAAAGCATGTCAATCACTGACAGGTGCCAGACACCCTAACCCCCACACACCGGACGTAATGTAAAGCATGTCAATCACTGACAGGCGCCAGACACCCTAACCCCCACACCTGACGTAATGTAAAGCATGTCAATCACTGACAGGTGCCAGACACCCTAACCCCGACACACCTGACGTAATGTAAAGCATGTCAATCACTGACAGGTGCCAGACACCCTAACCCTCACACACCTGACGTAATGTAAAGCATGTCAATCACTGACAGGTGCCAGACACCCTAACCCCCACACACATGACGTAATGTAAAGCATGTCAATCAATGACAGGTGCCAGACACCCTAACCCTCACACACCTGACTTAATGTAAAGCATGTCAATCACTGACAGGTGCCAGACACCCTAACCCCCACACACCTGACTTAATGTAAAGCATGTCAATCACTGACAGGTGCCAGACACCCTAACCCTCACACACCTGACGTAATGTAAAGCATGTCAATCACTGACAGGTGCCAGACACCCTAACCCCCACACACATGACGTAATGTAAAGCATGTCAATCACTGACAGGTGCCAGACACCCTAACCCCCACACACATGACGTAATGTAAAGCATGTCAATCACTGACAGGTGCCAGACACCCTAACCCCCACACACATGACGTAATGTAAAGCATGTCAATCACTGACAGGTGCCAGACACCCTAACCCCCACACACCTGACGTAATGTAAAGCATGTCAATCACTGACAGGTGCCAGACACCCTAACCCTCACACACCTGACGTAATGTAAAGCATGTCAATCACTGACAGGTGCCAGACACCCTAACCCTCACACACCTGACGTAATGTAAAGCATGTCAATCACTGACAGGTGCCAGACACCCTAACCCCCACACACATGACGTAATGTAAAGCATGTCAATCACTGACAGGTGCCAGACACCCTAACCCCCACACACCTGACGTAATGTAAAGCATGTCAATCACTGACAGGTGCCAGACACCCTAACCCCCACACACATGACGTAATGTAAAGCATGTCAATCAATGACAGGTGCCAGACACCCTAACCCCCACACACATGACGAAATGTAAAGCATGTCAATCACTGACAGGTGCCAGACACCCTAACCCCCACACACATGACGTAATGTAAAGCATGTCAATCACTGACAGGTGCCAGACACCCTAACCCTCACACACCTGACTTAATGTAAAGCATGTCAATCACTGACAGGTGCCAGACACCCTAGCGGAATAGTTCCATGTCACACTAGGGCTGAATACTGACACACCAGAACGTGGAGAATAACACTTTGACCTGAATAACACACCCGGGCCCGAATAATAACACATAGGCCTAAAAAAACACGACGGCCTCAGCAGTAACACCTGGACCTTAATAATCACACCCGGACCTTAATAATGCCACTACGGCCTCAGCAGTTACACCCGAACCTTAATAATTACACCTGGGCTTGAATAATGCCACTATGGCCTCAGCAGTTACACCTGAACTTTAATAATCACACCCGGATTTGAATAATGACACTACGCCCTCAGCAGTTACACCTGGATCTGAATAATCACACCTGGACCTGACAAATGACACTACGCCCTCAGCAGTTACACCTGGATCTGAATAATCACACCTGGACCTGACAAATGACACTACGGCCTCAGCAGGTACACCTGGATCTGATTAATAACACCTGGACCTGACAAATGACACTAGGACCTGAATAATAACACCTGGACCCGAATAATGACACTACGACCTGAGCAGTAACACCTGGACCCGAATAATGACACTACGACCTGAGCAGTAACACCTTGACCCGAATAATGACACAACGACCTGAGCAGTAACACCTGGACCCTGAATAATGACACTACGACCTGAATAATACCACTACGACCTGAATAGCTACTCTAGGATCAGGAGATATATCCCAGCGCCCCCTCACCTTCACAACTACGCTCCCGAAGATCATGATTAGGTCCATATTACTCCTTGTCGCAGGAGCCCAATTAAATCGGTTGGTCGGGCGATGTCACGTGATTGCACGTGTCCCAGTGTGGTATGCACGCTGCTCATGCGCATAGCCTCTGGTTTACAGTGACGTGTACAAGCTGCCGTAACATGGCTGCCATGGTGATGACAATAACGTCACACAACGCCCTCTCACTCAATGTGTAGCTCAAGACAAAGAATTATATTTCATGCCCCATACAATTATTTTTCTCAATTTCATCGTCAAGAGGAATGTATCCATTTAATAAGGAGGCGCATTAAATGCGGTTATGAGCGTGAGGTTGCGTTCGGGATGATCGGCTGGCTGAAATTGTACCCCTCAGCACAGCAGATGCTTCACACGTTGGCAGACAGCATTGTCACCACAGTCTGTTAGAATGACAAACACACGGATATCTCAATTGAACAAGCAATGCAAATACAGGGGAATTGTCATGTAAATGCAACTATACACATTACTTTGTTCAACAGAATGCTGAAACAGTCATAGCCCAGGCGTGTGGATGAAGAGATCGTCGCCTGATCGGGATCCCAAGTGATTAATTTTCCATAACGTTTAGATAACATATCAGTGATACAGTCCAAACATATGGAGACTACCCATTGTAACACCGCCATGGTTCCACACAGGCGAAGTTAATCAGGCAGTTATGACTGGTTCTGAATGAGAGTTGACACTATCGTTTTGTCTCATTGTGATGTTAAACTGCCACACGTGTGTTGTACGTCGCCTTCAGCAACAATCCAGAACATCACGACGGGGACACCAGACATGGCCTTAGACCATGTGGGGAAACTAAACAGAGCGAACGCATTTTCTACTTTGTCCTCACCACTTGACCCGTGAAGATCCGGGTTACAATAGGTCTTCAGCAACCCAAGCTTGCTGAAAAATGCGACTATGCGTGTCGTAAGAGGCGACTAACGGAATCTGGTGGTCAGGGTCGCTAACTTTGGTGATGCATGTCATCGATCATAATTGCGTGGATCTATGCTCATGATGTCAACCACTGGATTGTCTGGTCTAGACTCGATTATTTACAGACAACCGTCACATAGCTGGAATATTGCTGAGTGTGGCGTCAAACAACAAACCAAACATCCTCACCACTTGAAACATAATCACGAAGTATCGCCATGATTAAATAAGGAAGATGGCCGCATCTGTGATAATACTTATAAATTGAAAACACGCCATTCCGCAAATAAGGAATGTTACCCATCGTATCTGTCACTGTGATTAGCCAAAAAGGTACGTTAATTTACAGTTAAAATGATGACAAACAGAAAATATTCGAGTGTTGTCATGTAAGTATGAAACGGCCTTCGTTTGAGGTACTGACTTAACACCTGTCCCGAGGTGATGACCTCACACCGGCCCGTGCATTTTCACAGATGCAAATGTCACCTGAATTGGGGATTTCCAAAATATTACTGTTATGGTACCATGTTGTGATATGTGTTGACGGTGGTAGCAATTAAATTATTACCGCGTCATATTTGTTGGGGAAAATGATAAATACTTAAAAGGTATGAAACGGGATGAGTATTGCAGGGGTTGTTTTTTTCAATCAGGAGGTATTTGTTGTTCAACAGATGATTTCTTTAGCCAGAACTTATACATTTCTAATACAGACTCCGCCGTATACCGTGGCTATGGGAGTGAGTGAGTTAAAGCTTTACGTCACATCGGCAATATTTCAGCCATATCGTGACGAGAAATTTCATTTATTAAGACATATGTTTTAACTAAATCCGTGGCTATGGCAATACAGGCATTCGAGCAGCGTTGACAAAACAAATGCAGCGTCATTTTGTTCTTTTCTGAGATGCACATCTAGAATCATCTCAAATTGACTTGTTAAGGTGTTTTATGAAGACAGCTATATTCTTCTTATTATTATTAGTTTTTCTATTATTATGACGGAGTCGTACGTGCATATTTCTATAGTCAGACTTCCCGCATTGGACAGGAAGGCAGATCAGTACTTACTCGATGTTTCAATAGCAACAGTCTGAGAAACATTCTATCTTGTTTTAACGAGTGAAAAATATTTTCTGGTCTATCCTACAGTACTTTAGTACCATAGTTTAACCTCTTTACCCATGACGCGGCCAGGGGAACGAACCACTGACCTTCCACTCTCCTGCCTGAAGCTCTGTCCACGAGGGGCGGTCGGGTAGCCCAGTGGTTAAAGGGTTCGCTCGTCAAGCCGAAGACCCGGGTTCAAATCGCGACATGGGTGCAATGTGTGAAGCCCATTTCTGGTGTCCCCCGCCATGATATTGCTGGAATATTGCTAAAAGCGGCGTAAAACCATAGTCACTCACTCACTCTATCCACGACACCACGGATGCTGTCTGTGCGGGAATGAGAGCAAGAGAGCGAGAGATGGATAAACACCTGTATGGATGAATGAATGCTCGAACAATAAGGTCGGTGATTATAATTACTTGTTCTGGGCGAAGCCGTGAGGGTCGGCCGCTGCCCCGCCGTCCCCGACAAACAGGTACAGGTAGTGGTCATCCCCGAACAGCAGCTGTGGAATAACAAGGGCAGACGATGACGGTCACGTGGTACGACTCGGTCAGGACAAGTTCAAAATGGCGTGCTGTGAGGACCGTGAAACCCTTCATGTCGTCACGCGACTGGAGTGGTCCCATATTTATAGCAAGAGGACATTTATAATAACTTGCCGAGGACACTCAGCCTCACGTGGTGTACACAGATCTACCTGTACCCATGCTTCCAAAACATACACTGAGGGGCAAACGAGTTTGTAATTGAAACTTGAAAGAACTGTTGTTAAATTTGATTATTTAACCATCACTCATTCCTGCAACAGTTTGTATAGAGTAATCTGTGTTTGGGTAATTGTGAGTAAACTATATTGTTTCAGTGAAGACTGGGGTAAGAAATGAATTTGCAAACACAAGACCCCTACCATGTTTGAAATGTTGTAAATTTGTGACGATAAAAGAAAATATATTGATTTTAAAAGATACGATGTCAAAGATACCCATAAGCAGTTGTGTATTATGCGAATTTGAAGTTTTAAATGAAAAATATATATTTAAAAAAGTAAAACCATATAAAAAATTAATGCTAATCGCCAGTACAGTTGATGTTTTGGATTAAATATCGCTAACTTAAGATACTTTCAATTGAAGATCAAAGTTAACATATGATAAAATCAATTTCTTTTGTCCCTCAGTTTATGTAGAAAAAGTCGCTCCACCCTGCAGTGTTGATGACAGTAGACTATAGAGCGTTATAGCGGGGTATCTCCAGTAACTGAGCCCCGGCTTCCTCGATGTTAGGACTCCTCCGTTCGATGTTAAATGTAAAAGCTGTTATCGCAGTCTATCATATTTCATGTTCTATCAGTCCGGCCTCTCGCTGTGTTGATCACGGTCACATTAGAACGTGGAGATAGAATACGACCTCCGAAACTGAAGTATCGTCCCGAGGCAAGACTGTCCACAAGCCAATATCAACGGTTCTACCCTCGCCATTTCAAGCCTACCGTTTCTTGGTTCGATCGAACACGAGTTGTGTCCCTTGATATACCCAACGCGATATCCAATCAGATCATTTCTTATTTCGAACAGCTTAACAGAGACGACTTCCATAGCAGACGACCTGCTAGATTAGATAACGAAAGATTTGAAATTTCATACCTGACAGACAAACAAAATGACAGATCACTACTGAAAAGATAGATATTACTGTCGCATTTTGCTCTTACACAGTATCAAGTAACACTGGACATGGCGGCAACATGAAACGCCCGGCAGGGGATCGTCTATAAATAGCACTGCATCTCAGTTACTGCGATAAGCGTTCAGTCGTTTAAGTTACATGACAATTAAGTTTGCACTCACATATATAAAAATGCGTTGGCGAGTTGATTGAAAACTTCGAATCTCTTCGAAAATATTGGTCTTAGCTTACTTTTAGCAGCGACCACGTTTGGCAATTCTTCAAAGGGAGACCATCCTCGCGGAGTTTAGATCTACTGTTCATGAAAATCTTGCTGTTTCCTGAAAATTCTGGAAATTTACAGGTAGCAGGATAGGATAAAGGGTGTTGTTTTTGTGAAACGTTCTATAGATATGGGCGATAGTCTCTCAAACTTCAGCACAGAGAAGTTGGCTTGAAATGGCAATGGTGATATGGGCTAGTGGACACGCCTCCTTGGTAAGGTGAAACTAAGAGGCTGCTAAAGGCCTTGGATGGTCATCCTCGGTGACTTAGCTGATTGTGTGGCATCGTATCAAGACGGCATGATATCAATCCCTGGTTTGTCTGGTCCAGACTCGAGTGGTTACAGGCCGCCGTCATATACCTGGACATACGGGACGTTAAACACAGCTATACGTCCCCTCCATGCTTCCAGGTGGCAGTACATGTAGACATGGAGATTACTACATGGACGGTGTCAGATACCTGGACATACGGGACGTTAAACACACCTATACGTCCCCCCCCCATGCTTCCAGGTGGCACTACATGTAGACATGGAGATTACTACATGGACGGTGTCAGATACCATAATCTTCCGACTTGGTTCAGAAGATATCTGAGAAGTTATAAGATAAATGTTAGTTGGTGTTTGTTTGTTTGTTGCTTAACGGAGCACTCAACAAAATTGCAGCTATATGACGGCGGTCTATAAATAATCGAGTCTGGACCAGACAATCCAGTGATTGACATCATAAGCATCGATCCACGCAATTGGAATACGATGACATGCATCAACCAAGTCAGCGAGCCTGACCATCCGATCCCGTTCGTCGCATCTTACGACAAGCATTGTCGCATTTTACGGCAAGCATGGGTTGCTGAAGATCTATTTATCCCCGGATCTTCACGGGTCAGATAAATGTTATAAGACAGGCACAATGCAGTGATCTGTTTCTTACAGACTCTCAAATCGCACTAGTGTCGTGATTGCAGTGGCACATGAATACATAATCCAACGGCCACGAGTGACGTCATTGATCTTATGGAGTACTACTCAGACCTAGTGTGCCCCTCCACAGAAAAGGTTCCGCCATATCTGTGGATCATTAACGCGATGTTGATACTGCAAGCTAGATACGATCAAAGAACATTCAATAAGACTTCAGGAATTCGATCTCATGCGTGTGTTTAATACCAGTTATCTCAAACAGGTTTCTCTCCCACAGGTGTGTAAGAAATACGCCAATACGAAGTCCCTGCCGAACTAGACTGGAATTTCTAAGCTCGATTGTAGCGCCACCAGTGGCTATTACGAGTTATGTCCCTTCTATGTCCCTCCTATTGACTAATCAGATTCCATCTCTCATATCACTTTCAATTGCTTCAAACAAAATGGCGGCGCCCAGTCAAGACGATCTGATCGATAATCGAGATCCATATTATAATAAACGGGCCTTACCTCGCGCAGTGCATCAACTCAATGGAGGACCTTGATTAAAAAGATGAAAAAACTAGCAAAATATCTGTCGACGCTCAGTTGGCGGTACACATGCTTTGCAAATCCTTCAGTCGACCGAAATCTGAACGCTGAAATGCACGTTGTTTACGAACCGGATGTCTAGTTCGTTTTGTATAGTTTTGATTTGACAACGCATAGACTCGTAATTCCAGCCAATATTTAACAAGAGTGGAAACTGGACGTTTATTGTTAGTTTACGCCCTTGTCTCGGGAAGTTGGAAATATTCTTGCTTGGTATTCGTTTGTGCCGACTACGGTTATATTGACACACTTACCTCACCTTCGTTTTGCCGACTACGGTTATATTGACACACTTACCTCGCCTCCGTTGTGCCGACTACGGTTATATTGACACACTTACCCCACCTTCGTTGTGCCGACTACGGTTATATTGACACACTTACCTCACCTTCGTTGTGCCGACTACGGTTATATTGACACACTTACCTCGCCTCCGTTGTGCCGACTACGATTATATTGACACACTTACCCCACCTTCGTTGTGCCGACTACGGTTATATTGACACACTTACCTCGCCTCCGTTGTGGTTCCAGTAAGGCTCCATGACCTCCAAAAGAATTCTCTCGGTGTCAAGGTCAGCTTTGTTAGGATCGTCCTGGGACACGTGGATCTCGCTGATGCGGATCTTATGGTCAATAGGAATGTCGCCACCGTAGACGTCCAAGTTGTCGTTGTCCTGAAGATGTGTCGAGTAGTACACGAAGAATCTGCCGTTGTCGGCGTAGTTCGGATGGAATGCAATTGAAAAAAATCCTCTTTCATCCCCCCGCCGGGCACTGACCTTGACCTTTTTAGTGATGTTTAGAAAAGGAGTTTGAAGTCCTGTCTTGTTTCCTGGGAAGTAGATATGGACATATCCCAGTTGCTCTCCAACAAACAGCCTCCCCGATCCGTCCCCGGCATGTCGTGCGACGATGGGGTTCCTCATGCTGTGGAGCTGTTCCTCCAAGCAGAGACACCCCTCCGTGTTAACCTGGATGTTGGTGATCTGATCAGTGAACAGAGGATTTGTCAGGAGGTCGGGGTAGCAGTAGTCCACGTCAGACGGTATGGCTACCGCCTGGCAGAACCCCTGTCTGGAAGCGAAGGACGGCATCCTCGCTAGTTCGGGGTCTAAATATTGTACAACGTCTCTGCACGTGTCGTAGAAGGTGTTGCAGTAAGGTCGACACAGACCAGGGAACTGCCGGGGATTCTGGGTAGCCTCGGCGTCGTAGATGTGGGCAGCGTAGGGGGAGCAGTACTGACACAGCAAGTCGTCCACGTAGTGTCCGCACACGCTCCATCGGTCACCCAGCCGGCTTTGTATGTCGTCCCGGCGTTGCCGCAAGGCGTCGTGGTCTGCCTCCGTACAGCACCCGAAGTCAGTGTACTGGGCGCAGAAGTTGTTGGTCCCCTGGGCCTTGAAGGGGGGTCGGTAGTCCAGGCACTGGGGGTGAGGGGACACTGTGATGAGACACGTGATGAGGATGGTGAGCAGATGTACTGTGTTCTTCATCCCGGCCATGTTCGTGGAGTCAGTGAGCTGTGCTCGTGTCGAGTAACACACCACGTGGGTCTCGGTGCGAGGCACGCTGCCGCTTCCCCTGCAACAGATCAGATGGGGAATACAACACAGCTATTTCTTTTTTAAGATCTGTCTTACTCTACATGACCCGCACTCCACTAACACACTCTCTCTGGCACATCACCTCCTGTCACACTTCCAGGATGAATTAGGAGAACACATTGATCCAAAGAGCGGATGTTCAAAGGGTCATTAAGTACTTTCAGTACCGTTAACTCGTGTGTCTGTATATACATAGCCTGTCAGTTCAGATCGCTTGTATAAATACTGCAAACAGTGTGGAAATGGAACATAAGATATTGAAAATGGGTTTTTAACGTCGCGTCCAAGATTATTGCACTTATATAGCGACGTGCATGCACGTGTGAGTGTGTCTGTTTGCACTAATCCGGACTGATGCTGATTTATAGTGCTAGCTCACTGAGATACCATGCCTCAGTTTAACATGAATACCCAACTCAGACACAGCATACTGACTCCGAACCGACCAGTCTTGTTTTAGCCCCTTAATGCCGAGCGCCAGACAGGGTAACAACATGTACCATTTTTTAAATGTCTTTTGGTATGACGCGGCTGGGAAAAGAAGCCCGGACCTTCCGCTCTCCGGGCGGACGCTCTACCACTAGACCACGGAGGCTATGGCTACCGACCCTCATGATTCGAATAAACGTCCAGAAAGCGGCGTATCGGCAGAATGGGTTTCCGGCTTATCGAGTACCGGACAGTAGGTAATAAATTAGCGTGTATGATAACAATTAATATTCCACGAGGACATTTAATCAAAGGCGAAGGGCATTGCAGATTATTATCTCAAAACACGTCGATTGTTATCCCTAACACAATTAATGCGAATTCAAGTTTGTGTGGAAGTAACCATGGAGACAAGGGAATCTTCTCGAGATCCCGTTAGTTCGAGATTTGTGATTTTGATTTGGCCACTTCGCGACAGTGTCCCTCATGTGATCACTACCAGCTGCACCCTTCACGTACCTCCCCTACCTAGGAACTCGCTACATTCAGCCATCGGAGGAAACTCGTAACTCACAACCGTCAATGTCATGCAGAAACGTACAACTATGTACACACATATGTACAGGAGAATGTGTTGTGTCAGCAGTAAATATTAAAAAAAATAACTTACACCTCACGTCAGGCCAACGTGCTCGCAAGATGGCAGCGACATAATCGTCGATGCCTCCGGGCATTTCGCAATTTACCAAACATTTTCTCGCAATAATGACGCCCACACAATGCAGACACGTACAGCTGTTTTGATTTGGTCTTTTTTCGCCAAGAAATGCTCAAAATAGATGTGTTTGTTTGGACGTCGATTTTGTCCAAATATTTCAGTGTATCCGTCATATATATATAGTCTTGTTTGTTTGTTGTTTAAAGCCGGACCCGTTAAGATCTGTGTAGAATAGGTTTTCAGCAACCCATGCTTGTCATGAAAGGCGACTGCGCTTGTATGTGGCGACTAACGGGACCGGCTGACTTGGTTGATGCACGTCATCGTATCCCAATTGCGTGAATCGATGCTCATGATGTTAATCACTGGATTGTCTGGTCCAGGCTCGATTATTTACAGACCGCCGTCATATAGGTGGAATATTGCTGAGTGCGGCGTTAAACAACGTGAAACAAAACGGTTTAAAGCCGTACTCAGCAATATTCCAACTATTTGACGGCGGTCTGTAAATAATCGAGTCTGGATCACTGATTGACATTATGAGCATCGATCTACGTAATTGGGGTACGATAACATGCTTTGTCAGCGAGCCTGACCACCAGTGCCTATCTTCAGCAACCCACGTAAGATGCCTCATGCGACAAGCATGGGTTGCAGAAGATCAGTTCTTAACCGGGTTCTCGAGGGGCTCAGTTCTTAATGACAAGAAAGAACACAAAGGTGAAGTACGTGGTTATATATTATCACGTAGGTGTACACGCTTTCTGCTCACGCCATGTCGGACCATGGGACGGAGGGGTAGCCTAATTGTAAAACCGTTGAAATTCCACATGGGTGAAGAGTATTTCTGGTGTCCCCTGTCGTTATATTACTGAAATATTGTTAAAAGCGGCGTAAAACCTCTCTTACTCAATAGCTCGCTCACTTGATCCAGAACAGTGTTTGTTATATGATAGTTAACACCGACACGTTGTCTGGGATTCATGTGAATAGTTCAGTCAAGAGTAAAGGACACAGTGTCCACTTCGCGTGGTCAGCGTGTGCAGCCTTCGGCGCGTGTTTTGGAGTGTATGCTTACTCATACCTGATGAAGGAGTAAGGATATACTCCGAAACTTTGTGTTCCTCATAATACAGAAGTTGACATCCATAAATTCTCTTCCTTCGGTGTATCACTTCTAAATGTCTCTTAAAGACGGGAAGAGCACGGTCTCAAAATATCAAAACATCTTCAAAACTCACTCACACACACTCACTCACTCACTCACTCACTCACTCACTCACTCGCCCGCCCGCCCGAGACACCCACTCACTCATTCGCTCGCCCGCCCGCCCGGGACACCCACTCACTCACTCGCTCGCCCGCCCGCCCGGGACACCCACTCACTCACTCGCTCGCCCGACCGCCCGGGACACCCACTCACTCACTCGCTCGCCCGCCCGCCCGGGACACCCACTCACTCGCTCGCCCGCCCGCCCGGGACTCCCACTCACTCACTCGCTCGCCCGCCCGCCCGGGACACCCACTCACTCACTCGCTCGCCCGCCCGCCCGGGACACCCACTCACTCACTCGCTCGCCCGACCGCCCGGGACACCCACTCACTCACTCGCTCGCCCGCCCGCCCGGGACACCCACTCACTCACTCGCTCGCCCGACCGCCCGGGACACCCACTCACTCACTCGCTCGCCCGCCCGCCCGGGACACCCACTCACTCACTCGCTCGCCCGCCCGCCCGGGACACCCACTCACTCACTCGCTCGCCCGCCCGCCCGGGACACCCACTCACTCACTCGCTCGCCCGCCCGCCCGGGACACCCACTCACTCACTCGCCCGCCCGCCCGGGACACCCACTCACTCACTCACCCATAACCCACTTACTCCCTCACGGTCGTAGCTCTCCTCCACCACAGAAAACATGTAGACTCCGGCTATCTACAAACTTCACAACTAGGGGCGTTGTGACATTCTGTCCCGTGAAACATGAGTCACATCAATGGTGGTACCTACATTACCCAACATTGGTGTGCAATTACGCAGACACCGGCAGATCGGGTGGACATTGTGTTTACAGATTGCGCCAGGGAGTGGTCGGGGAATTTGGGCTGAACAATCCAGATGTACGTGTAATGCTACAGTTAACATTTATATTCATTATAACAAGTATGTACGTAAATACTTTAAATACTATATCCTCATCAAAATGACAAAATGTATTTCCACCGATGATTCGTCTCGAAGTAAATGTTTTATGGAAGTAATCAAAGAACAAGCCACACGAAACATGTGCATTTGATTAAAGCTATTAGTTTACAGTTCTATGTAGCACAGTGTGCATTAGTGTGTGCAATAACGTGACGTTTCATGGTGTGCAATAACGTGACGTATTGTGTGCAATAACGTGACGTATCATGGTGTGCAATAACGTGACGTATGGTGTGCAATAATGTATAATAAAGAGACCTATCATGGTGTGCAATAACGTGACGTATCATGGTGTGCAATGACAAGACGTATCATGGTGTGCAATTACGTGACGTATGGTGTGCAATAATGTATAATAACGTAACGTATCATGGTGTGCAATTACGTGAGGTATGGTGTGCAATAATGTATAATAACGTAACGTATCATGGTGTGCAATTACGTGACGTATGGTGTACAATAATGTATAATAACGAGACCTATCATGGTGTGCAATGACGTGACGTATCACGGTGTACAATCATGTGCAATAACGTGACGTATCGTGTTCTATGACGTTTCCATATTTGTAAAAGTGGGTCAGTTGTATTCGTGTTGATTGCAACAAATGTTTCAAAACATCAAGACATTCTATCCATTTTGGCTAAAACAACAGTAACGCTATTTTTCAGGGCATTATCATTTGCAGAAGCCCTCGGTCTTTTCAACTGCCCTCCTTCGTCGGGTCGTTAAATGCAAGACCTCGGGCTTCTGCAAATGATGATGCCCTGAAGAATAGCGTTACCCTTATAATAACATGATGTCTTAATCATAGTATCACACGTGTATACTCCCTAGGAAGCTGCAAATACAAATTGAATGTATACTGATTCGTTGACCGGGATACTGATTATATATAGGTAGTAGTAGTAGTAGTAGTAGTAGTAGTAGTAGTAGTAGTAGTAGTAGTAGTGCTTTGCAAAAATATGAGGTATCACATACATCGCTGCAACATACCCTAATATACATGTAATGTAAATCCGCTATCTCGGATGGGGAGTGTCATTATACATTATTATATCGGGGTGGAAGATTTTATTTTAATGCGATTGTCAAAAACACCGACATAAACACAAACTTGTAACTCAACGAGCCCTGCTCCTTCAAACATAGCGGCTAGAACTCTGTTGTCAACAAGAATCAAAGCCATCGGTCTGTGTACCATGCGACAAGTAACAGCACGACAACGCTGTGTGCTGGCGTAACACTGACCAGGTGGAGCGGTGTCTGCGTTAACCAGGTGATCCATTGTTGACGATATAATATGGCTGCAGTCACTGACAGCGTGTAGCGAATCTCGCGATGAGTGTTGGCTGCTACAGCTGTGAATGGGACGAGTGTGGGCTGCTACAGATGTGAATGAGATGACTGTACGCTGCTACAGCTGTGAATGAGATGACTGTAGGCTGCTACAGCTGTGAATGAGATGTGTGTAGGCTGCTACAGCTGTGAATGGGACGAGTGTAGGCAGCTGCAGCGGTGAATGGGATGAGTGTAGGCTGCTACAGCTGTGAATGAGATGTGTGTAGGCTGCTACAGCCGTGAATGGGACGAGTGTAGGCTGCTGCAGCTGTGAATGGGATGAGTGTAGGCTGCTACAGCTGTGAATGGGATGAGTGCAGGCTGCTACAGCTGTGAATGGGATGAGTGTAGGCTGCTACAGCTGTGAATGGGATGAGTGCAGGCTGCTACAGCCGTGAATGGGATGAGTGTAGGCTGCTACAGCCGTGAATGGGATGAGTGCAGGCTGCTACAGCTGTGAATGGGATGAGTGTAGGCTGCTACAGCTGTGAATGAGTAAAGGCTGCTAGAGCTGTGAATGGGACGAGTGTAGGCTGCTACAGCTGTGAATGGGATGAGTGCAGGCTGCTACAGCTGTGAATGGGATGAGTGTAGGCTGCTACAGCTGTGAATGGGATGAGTGTAGGCTGCTACAGCTGTGAATGGGATGAGTGTAGGCTGCTACACCTGACGGGAAGATTGTTTTGTTAAATATATAATCTGGAGTGTGTGAGGGTCCCCAGTTTACCCACTGAATCTGGTTCCAGGGCGAGGGGGACATTGTCTGACCCTGCCCCGACGAGGTTGCCTGCAAGATAAAAGAAACCGAGCTTGTCGGGTAATCTTTGGGAATCTTGGAGCAATCGTTGGGACTACATAGGGAGAGAATTTAGTTATCCCAAAAATCGTTGGCAATAGATACCAAAATGATCGAGGTTAGCCTATCAATCGTTGAGAAAACATATGGGAAAAACATTGGAGGTATGACGAGTCATGTTTGATAATACGTTCTGAGACAATAGTCGTTAGTAAGTAATGCCAGGACATACGGGAGAAATTGGTGTTTCGTAGATTGAAACAGAGGGACTTCGCCGAGTCATCTTTGGGACTGGGTGTGAAGAGAAACTAGGTTTGCCAAGCAATCTTCTGGACAGCGGGACATCTAGCTCTAATGGCGTCATAAATTGTAAGGCATGACACGCCTCTGGCGTCATAGATGCGGACAGACACCATAAAGTCTCTGATACGGGGTACCGATGGCGCGCCATAAAGTTTTAGCGAAACATCAAACATGGCGTCACCTCACGCTGGGTCGCCTGATTTGAGGCATATGAAGAGGATCCCATATCGTAGGGGTTCCTTGTCTCAGTACTTGTACTCCTGGTTAAACGCTACCCACAGCTGACGCTAACGTCGGCACTGATTCTGTGATAAATGGTGCCAGCCTCAGTCAAGAAACACAGATACAATATACCGGTCTCTGAGACACCCTTCACCAGATGTGTATATCATCTAGCTGCCCTCACATTGGTTTCTTATGTAATTGCCTCCAAACATAACACTCCTTGGTCGTGGCTGCAAGTCACGTGTGTTGTGGTACATGTGGCGCCACTTCCAGCTAACGACGCCAGCACCTGCTGAAGGTGAATGTTCCCAACCACATGCAGAGACAAAACCACGTTCAGCCATTTCCTCGTTCAACTTACAACATATGACAACATGGCTTCCGATATTATCCTAAATTTCGAGCTGTCGAGCTGTCCGTTGCAACACACACACACACACACACCCCTACCCCCCCCCCCCCCCCCCCCCCCCCCCCCCACACACACACACCCTCACACACAATCCTTTGTAGTATCTTGGACGTGTCAGAGAGCCAACCTGTCCAGCCGCTGTCCGAGAGCTAATACATGGCACTGTCCATTTAACCCAAAGCAGCGAATCACGGTGGTCAGATTGCCACGTGCCGCATGTGACACATCTTGTGTGTCAGTGTCCCGCACCTCATCCACAATGTCACGCTTCAGTGGCCATCCGGCCTTTGTCCAACTGTAATCATAAGCAGCTGACCAATACATGACATGCTGTTTGTCGTGGTAATAACAGTCAAGCTGTGGATTTGTATTGACTACAAAGTGAATATCTAGATCGATATAGTTAACTTACTTAAATTATATAAAACTCTGTTAATCAGGTCAGACGGTCCGAGCACATGGTCATGACTTGCAACGTCTTGCCTTTCATTCCTTCGGCAATATGAGTGATCAATATACAGTTCAACTTTTCCCATCAGACTCTTAACCAGATTTGCAGCTCGATGCAATATTGACAGTAGCAGATAGTACCAAACGTATAATTAACATTCATGTGCCAAACACGTTCATTACTAACAGTACATTCTTGTTATGTGGAGCGGCTCAGTGGTTGAAGCGGTCGATGACTTCTGGTGTCCTACGCCGTGATATTGGTGGAGTATTAGCTTAAAGCGGCGTAAAACCATACTCACACACATGCTCGTAATGTTGTTAGTATCGTATCTATTTTAAAACAACTACTTGTTTCGCAGGTTTAGAGCGTCTAGGCAAGTATACACAATAGACCCGATCGACGGCGAGATCGATTGAATGCTTCCGTCATGGTCTAGCCTATTGACGAGACTTAGTGTATTGGGAAAGTGTCAATGGAGCGAGACGACTTTCCATATGTACGGGTCTTAGCATGACTCAGTACAATTCTGTCTCGGCACATATAAGCTTAACAATGTCAAACATGTGTTCTGTATAAACTGCGACTGTTTGGTTGCAAAAGGTCGAAAGACGGTACAGGCTGGGTCAACTCTTCACACAACACAACACAACACAACACATGTCTAGTCATAGTGTATAGGCCTAATTATATCGAAGGACATGCACGGCTGTCCGACGATAAAAACCTTATTACAAATCATGCACTGGAGAAGACGAATGATTTAATCTCAACGTATCTTGTGAAATAAACAAAATATTTGTCTATATCTAGATCTAAATATACCAGTTGTCGGTACATTGACAATATTTTTTTCGGAGACACGGTTGTATAATAACAGACGTAGTGGCAGCCAGTTTTCAGCAGCTATTAACATGAATAATTGTTTCAGGAAATGATTTCTAATTATAGACATCAAAGATACTGGTACATTCCACACACCATCCAGCCATACCGCTGTTCCGCTCTCCGCTGATCACTTAGCAGAGCGTTAGCCTGACAGCGAATACTGTGGTTAATGTACTGCACTGTAGTCGTAGAAAGCCACCATCAGTATCTACTGAGTATTGTCCCCGTCGTGTGACTCTGATTACTCGCCTACATCTACGTGTTGACACTCACCTGTTTCAGACGCTGTCAGATGGTCCTCATCACCCGGCTCGCGGTCTAGATGTGTGTTACAAAACAAACCATCTCGGCAGGTTCACCCTTCCTCTCATCCGTTGTCAACAACCTCGTCGAGTACATTTAACAAGGGAGCTAACTCTGTTAACAATGCGGTTTTCGTTATTTGTAATGTACGCGCTTGGGATCGAATCTCTTCGTGTTGATCATCGAGGCGAGATTTAATAATTCTTTATTTTGATATTTTTATGGGTTTCAACTTGACGGGGTGGGAAGTTTTTGTTTGTTTGGTTTGTTTGTTTGTTTTTGTTTTTGTTTTGTTTTGTTTTGTGTGGTATTGATGTTGTTGTTTTTGGTTTGTTTTTTTGTTGTTGTTGTTTTGTTTTTTTTTGGGGGGGGGAGTCGCTTTCTTATTATTCAGAACCTTCCTCTCATCCGTTGTCAACAACCTCGTCGAGTACATTTAACAAGGGAGCTAACTCTGTTAACAATGCGGTTTTCGTTATTTGTAATGTACGCGCTTGGGATCGAATCTCTTCGTGTTGATCATCGAGGCGAGATTTAATAATTCTTTATTTTGATATTTTTATGGGTTTCAACTTGACGGGGTGGGAAGTTTTTGTTTGTTTGGTTTGTTTGTTTGTTTTTGTTTTTGTTTTGTTTTGTTTTGTGTGGTATTGATGTTGTTGTTTTTGGTTTGTTTTTTTGTTGTTGTTGTTTTTTGTTTTTTTGGGGGGGGGAGTCGCTTTCTTATTATTCAGAAAAGCAGGGTACATATTATTTTGTAACAGATTTGTGTGAACGTATATTGACAAGACACGTTATTGCAGTTCATTCGTCGATGCTTCACCCTCCACGGCAAGTGAGGTTGTTGTACTTATCAGTTAACAAGTGACCCGTGAAGATCCGGGGTAGAATACATGTAGGTCTTCAGCAAACAAGGTTTGAGCACTGTAAAAGACGACTATGCTTGTCGTAAGAGGCGACTAACGGGATCGGGTAGCCAGGCTCGCTGACTTGGTTGATGCATGTCATCGTAACCCTATTGCGTGGATCGATGCTCATGATATCAATCGCTTGATTGTCCGGTTTCAATTCGATTACTTACATACCGCCGTCATGTAGCTGGAATATTGCTGAGTGCTGCGTTAAACAACAATTAACAAACAAACAAAGTTTACAAGGAGAGTGATATTCTTCAATACTATAAATATGTTTATATTTCATTAGAGAAAAGACCGCCCCTGTGGTCTAATGGTAGAGCGTCTGCCTGGAGAGCGGAAGGATCAGGGTTCGATTCCCTGCATGTACGTGTAAGTGTAAGTGTAATATGTAAGTGCAATGATCTTGGACGCGACATTAAGCCTATTGTCACCTCACCTTTAGAGAATAGCCGATAACCGGTACGTTTGATGTATAGATATACCCTTTTGTGATGAGCAATGTATTTTTCCGTAACTGGCGGCCTGCTCAGAATCCAAAGGTGAATTGCGAAATAGTTGCATTCTATGGGTAAATGTTATCATGTTTCTTGACTGAGAATGTGATCACATATTTCGGTTTAAGAAGACAAAAGCACGACCCCTCTGCACAAATAGCAGCACCTAGCTCCTAGAGACGACCCGGCTAGCGCTCTGATACAGATAAAAGCATTGGGTATGCAAAAAGCGGAGGAAATCTGAATAAAAATGACGTTTATTATTTTCCCTTAAAATTAAGACGAATATTAGAGGCGGGACACATGCAAGAAAAGTGTGCTCTGTCAGTGTCACGGTGTAGTGAGTTTGTTTGTTTGTTGTTTAACGCCGCACTCAGCAATATTCCAGTTAGATGACGGCGGTCTGTAAATAATCAAGTCTGGACCAGACAATCCAGTGACTGACTTTAAGAGCATCTATCTACGCAATTTGGATACGATGGGATCGGGTGGTCAGGCTCGCTAACTTGGTTGATGCATGTCATTGTATCCCAATTGTGTGGATCGATGCTACTGATGTCAATCACTGGATTGTCTGGTCCAGACTCGATTATCTACAGACCGTTGTCATAAAGCTGGAATATTGCTGAGTGTGGAGTTAAACAACAAACAAACAAACAAACACCAAACAGAAGAGACTGGTCTGTGTAAAGGAGTGAGTGAGTTTGATTTTTCGCCGCTTTTAGCAATATTTCAGCAATATCACGACGGGGGACACCAGAAATTGGCTTTACACATTGTACCCATGTTGGGAATCGAACCCGGGTCCTCGGCGTGACGAGCGAACGCTTTAACCACTAGGCTACCCGACCGCCCCCTGTGTAAAGGATGCACTGGATGAAGTGTTCGTATTATGTATGTATAATGAGTGCATAACCCCGAGTATTAAAGGCGCCCTTTCTTTCTTATCGCTGAACCAATACTGCCTTTTATTGCCACAGTTCAGGTTAAACCACTATAACTTGTATATAATGCTATAGCGATGTAAACATTGATCTCATCTATTCTCAACTCACAAAAGGCGGCAACAGTAACGGCGCAATGACTGCAACATGCGGCCGGGAACTAAACCTCTCTTCTATTCTCCATAAGTAGGTCAGTCCCACAATACACCGCGCGTGATGCTGCCGACTGGGAAGGTGAGGAGAGATTCATTTCTTGTTTTCATATAATGATGGAAATGATTTGTGAAAGCCACCAATGACCAATGTTTAATGATAAGATTCCGCTATTGCTATTGTACAATGTGAGGTTTTATGGACAGCATCTTCAAACTGCAGTGGTATCTTTACCAGCAGATCGGATAATGCAGAGGGCAGGAACCACTTGGAAATATTCAGACGAAGTGACAGAGACAACCAAACTTCGCATCTACTTGTCAATATTTCATCTTATAGTGGTGCATATCATCTTGAAAAACTTCCTTTATGCCGAATTGTGTTAAATATTATGTTTTCATATAAAAAGAATCCTGGTTGTACCGTTCTAAGTCAAAACCGTGGTTTAACAAAACTGCAGGATGAACAAATCATTGGTATTGCGTCGTGCCCTGTACATGTATGAAGTGGCCGCAAGCAGTAATCGTCCTGGTTGTGCAGTTTTCGGACGAACCAGGTTTCCTTTTATACGCCCACTGTTAAAGATCCGGGTTAGAATTTGGTCTTCAGCAACTCCATACTTATCGTAAACCTCGACTGACAGGATCGGGTGGTCAGGCTCGCTGACTTGGTTGATGCATGTCATCGTATCCCAGTTGTGTAGATCGATGCTCATGAGCGAGAAAGGCGACTATGCTTGTCGTAAGAGGCGACTAACGGTATCAGGTGGTCAGGCTCGCTGACTTGGTTTGATGCATGTCATCGTATCCCAATTGCGAGGATCGATGCTACTGATGTCAATCACTGAATTGTCTGGTCGAGACTTGATTATTTACAGACCGCCGTTATATAGCTGGAATATTGCTGTTGTTAAAGGCGACTATGCTTGTCGTAAAAGGCGACTATGCTTGTCGTAAAAGGCGACTATGCTTGTCGTAAAAGGCGACTATGCTTGTCGTAAAAGGCGACTATGCTTGTCGTAAAAGGCGACTATGCTTGTCGTAAAAGGCGACTATGCTTGTCGTAAAAGGCGACTATGCTTGTCGTAAAAGGCGACTATGCTTGTCGTAAAAGGCGACTATGCTTGTCGTAAAAGGCGACTATGCTTGTCGTAAAAGGCGACTATGCTTGTCGTAAACGGCGACTATGCTTGTCGTAAAAGGCGACTATGCTTGTCGTAAACGGCGACTATGCTTGTCGTAAAAGGCGACTATGCTTGTCGTAAAAGGCGACTATGCTTGTCGTAAAAGGCGACTATGCTTGTCGTAAACGGCGACTATGCTTGTCGTAAAAGGCGACTATGCTTGTCGTAAACGGCGACTATGCTTGTAAAAGGCGACTAACGGAATCGGGTATTCCGGCTCGCTGACTTGGTTGATGCATGTCATCGTATCCCAAAGTTAACAAGGAGAGTGATGTTCTTCAATACTATAAATATATAATGTTTCGTTAGAGAATAGGACTGTCTCAGTGGTCCAGATGTAGAGCATCCCCCTGAGAGCGGAAGGTCCGGGGCTCGATTCCCGGTCGCGTCATACCAAAAACATAAAATTGTATCCCAGTTGTGTAGATCGATGCTCATGATGCTTGGACCAGATTCGATTATATACAACATGGCATGGTAGAGATGGGATGGTGCTGACAGTGGCGTTAAAGAACAAACAAACAAACAAACAAACAAACAACATATACGTATGTCTTCCATGATATTAACATATATCCCTATCTACAAAAAAATATACTGATATTTGTTACTTGATAGTTCACTGGTCATGCATTTATTAATGCTCACCCTTTTCGCAAACACCTGGTGTCATCACCGATTTTCAGTGGTCAATTCATACAATTTCCAGAGTTATGTTGCCCTTTATGCCAAATGGAATCTGTTTCGGCAGAAAATCTACGATGGTTATTCTCTTGCATTGTCAATTTATATTTACTAACATTGATTTCGTTTCTGTCCCAGTGTCTTCAGTGCAAATATGGAGCCACCCAAACTGAAACTAAACAGCACGCCGGTTGATAAACAACGCCTAGCGAAGACCCTCAATCTCGATAATGACATGAGGATACTACTGTACGCTCTGATTGACCCAGGAAACCCGGACTCGGAGTCCTGCAACCTGGAGCTGAAGAGTGCAACGCAAGGGACGCTACTCCACTGTATAACCAGAGCCACCGTGACCCACCCTGAACAGATTGAGGTCTACATGAAACTGTTCGACGAGATCGAATCCCGCTGTGTGGCGTGGTGGTGCAGGAAACAGTCGATAGACGTCCCCGAGGACGACCGTGACAGCTACAGAATCTACAAATGTAAGGCAATGGAGTACCTCACCATGACGGTGAAGGTCAGCGAACAGGACGAGATGTCAGTCTGGGACCTGGCCTTTGACCTTGTCTCTGTGGAAGTTCTTCAGAAGCTTCTCAAGATGACCGGGGTGACGTATGTCAAGGATTCTAGTGGTAGGTGTCGTTATCAGATCTCCACCATCTGCCCCAAGTTTCTCCACAAAGGGCAAACTGGGTTCTTGCATAGCGTTTTTGGAATTCCGCATAAAGATGATTCTAGGTTTGAACGTTTGCTTAATAAATCCAAGGAAGTGAAAAGAGTGGCTGAAGTTCTTGAAATGCAACCATTCAAAGAGATAGCAAATATTTACATATCAATTTCCACAAAGATCCACTTATTCATAGCCTTTCTGCATATACTGTACATGGCGCTGTTTAGTTATGGGTGTTGGGACGTCATGGAATCCATGATGCAGAGGAATACAACAACTCCACAGACAGCAACTGAAGTGTTTGTGGTCGGTGTCACTGAGCCGGTGTGTTTGACTATATACGTGGCCAGCCACGTTGTCAAGTCTGTGATCACACGGTCAGAAGAAGATCGAGACAGCGGCTACTACGTGAGGGTCTTCTTCAGGATAAACAACCTCATCTTCTACATCATCCTGCTTAGTCTCAGCATCACCAGCCTCAGCCCCCGGACCAACACCAACAACTACTTCGACAGAAACATCCTCATCTCCGTCACCCTCCTCTACGGCTGGCTCATGACCTTCACCTTGGTCAAGGGCATCAAATCTGCACACTTTTTCTTCAGGGCCACGTTAAGAATCATCTACACCGACGTGAGGAAACTGATCCTCGTGTATGTCATCATCCTTATGGGGTTTTCCATGGCGATGCACATCCTCTTCATGGGCTCCCCGATAATCACCAGCATCTACAGGAACCCTTTCTTTACCATCTTCATGATGTTTAACACCATGCTGGGGGTGGTTGAGATGTTCACTGACGATATAGAACACGGTCTGAATGAGAACCTGGTGTTGAGTGTGTTCTGTAGAATCGTGTACATCGTCTACATCGTCCTGTCCTCCATCATCCTCATCAACCTCCTCATCGCGATGATGAACACGTCGTACTCCCAGATGAGGCAGCACCACTCAAACCTGTGGAAACTTGAAGCTGTGAAGTTTGGAATCAAGACGGAAAGGATTCTGAGGAACCTGACCCCTCGCTGGGGAACCACGGTGGTCAAGTACGGGAACATGTTCCCCAAATCTCTGGAACAGAAGTACGTGTGGTACATTGAGCTACCGGTTGAGGACGCACGGTACGGCAAAAGAGCGGGGGACTCCCCAAGTCTCGAGTCCACGCTAGAAAGCCTGGATGTACGAGGAGCGAAGTTCGCCACTCAGCTAGCAGAGATGAGGAATTCACTCGATAACATCAAGGGACAAATGGACAGTATTCACAAACAATTGTTAACCATGGAGACAAAACATTCTGACTGGGTGTAAGTCTCAGTTTTCATTTCTAAGCTCCAGGGTTTCTACAAGCATAGGTGCATAGCAAGTGTGAAGGTGAGTGATATTTTAGCAATATTCCAGCAATATCACGATGGGGGACACCAGAAACGGGCTTCACATATTGTATCAATGTCGGGAATCGAACTCGGGTCTTCGACGTGATGAGCAAACGCTTAAACCACTAGGCTACCCGACCACCCCACAAGTGTCAAGGGATTGTTAGCGACAGTTTTATTCCTGAACTGAACATTTGAACTCTGAACATATATATTCTGGAGACAAACTGCATCTAATAGCGCAGTTATGGCGGCGTAGTTACTATGGCTACAAAACCTGCATGGGATGTCATTTGATATATGTAGTTACCATGGTAACATACGGCTGCATGTCCAGGCCTAATGATGGAACGTGATGTGACACGGTAACCATGATTACTCAAGAATAAAGGTCCATGTGTAATGAAGGAAAATGTGTTTTTCAGCAGATCCTGCACCACCCAACACGTTAATGTGTGACGTGACTTGTCCGAGAGTGACGGTTGGTTTCAGCTGTATGGATCGGTAAGGACGTGACCCGGGGGTTGTCACGGAGATACGGGGTCACCAACACTTTTCACATGAAGCTTCCTGTAACCTGCTCATCAGTGGTTTTGAGGGACAGTTGTTCCCTGGTCATAAGATGTGTCCCAGGGTGACATCCAAGCATAGGATTTTTAAGAGAGAGAATTTATGGATATGAACTTACACATCATTTCGGAGTATAGACTTACTCCTTCGTCATGTGAATGATTCATCTAGTACAGGAGGAGAGCTGTGTAAACAAGTGTTGTTCAACACCTACTACATGAAAGGTCTGAACATACAGTTTGGTCCAGGAGATCCTCCTGAACATTTCTAGGTACTGTGTTATCCCAAAGTATAGGTTGGTAAAAAACCAGAGGCAGGCGAAGCCAGGTACCTATTGTAAAAACTAGGTTAATTTTATAAACATATCTGCATGGTGGGATAGAAGCAATGTTTCTAATAACTGTTACATGAGCCATAAACTTTTGAACATGACACAGACTTACTTCAGTGACCAACACAGATTTCTAGTTGTAGAATGCTTTCTAAATAAGCCAATGGTGATATACCATGCAAGGATTTATTCAAAATCGTTTGATACTATGATAACCCTATCCTGTGTTGTGGGGCTGTGGTTTGGGGAACCACGTACTGTGAAATAATTGAAGATGTTCAAAATGTGTAAATAATTTCTGAAAGTTTCCGAAAACATTTGTGCTATGATGGCCCTTGGCGAATGTGGTAGAGCACCCCTGCAGTTTACCTTTATGACAAGAGCTGTAAAGTACTGGTCCAGGCATTTACATCTCAGCCCAGATAGACTACCCTACCAGTTCTACAAGATGTTAACTGCGTTGGACGATACTGGGAGTACCACTTGGGCCACCCATATTAAGAACATTTTAAGAACATTTTATTTATATTTAGATTTGGTTTTACATGGATATCCCAGGATATAAGCAATGAAGATATGAGACTCTGACGATTAACAGCAGACCTGGTGCGGTTAAGTCAACAACCTTTCAAACTCATGCTCTTATATTTTTTTAATTTGAAGTTTACACGATATATGGCTTTCCATTGGACGATAGGTCGGTCATATGGCCGCAAAACTGACGTTCCTAAGTGTATGAACGACACAATTTGACATTTATACGTTTTTCACGAGATCGTGTTCTTGAAATGACGTAAACACTGACGGACTACTTCCACATTCGACCCGTGAAGATTCCGGGGTAGAATAGGTCTTCAACAACCCATGCTTGCCGTAAAAAGGTGACTATGCTTGTCGTAAAAGGCGACTAACGGGATCGGGTGGTCAGGCTCGCTGACTTGGTTGATGCATGTCATCGATCCCAATTGCGTGGCTCGATGCTCATGATATTTATCACTGGATTGTCTGGTTCAGACTCGATTGTTTACAGACCGCCGTCATATAGCTGGAATATTGCTGAGTGTGGCGTTAAACAACAAACCAACCAACCAACTGCCACATTCCTGGAGGAACCCTGGGAATTCCCCTGCACGAATACACACAGAAGCGTTCTTTCTGAACATTTGGACCCTTTAATCTTGACCCACCCATCCATACACTGTTTCATATGCTTCATGTCATCACAAGCCTTGATATAAATACACATCTACTTCTGTGTGTATTATGTATAACTATATTGTGCAGATGGTTATATCTCTGCTGTACTAATGTATTTTGGGCCAGTGGCCAAATGCTGTATATGTTTCATTCGCATTTAAAACTGAGCACATTTCGTGCATTATTGTCCTATAATAATTCCTTGATTTGATGTAAATCCAGTCAAGACCCAATATCGGTCGGCAATGACAGACGTTTTACAAAATGGCCACCATTGCCAGCTTGGGTTTAATAAGAGATAAATCTGGCTTTATACTGCATTGATTGTCATATCACTTTTTTTTCATAACTTCCTTTACAACTGACAATATGTTTTAAGCAATGCACATTTCTGAACTTAATTGGCCTTTAGTACCCCAACCTTTGGGCTCAGGCCACAATTCAGTTTCTATTATACATATTGGCATAGCGTAGCATTTGGTAGGGTACTGTATCAGCATATATAACTGAAATGAGTTTACCATATAGCAGCTTAAACTAAGCGGCAAAACGTAGGGCGGGTATTAAATACCAGGGACGGGCTGTGGCGTTACACAATGTTTACAGACGAATCAAGGTTTTGCCTCCGATTCACAGATGGCAGAAGACGTTGTTTGCGACGTAGCGGCGTGCGGTATGCCACGGCAGCAATTCTTGACCATGATCGGTATGGGGGTGGTCGTATCATGCTGAGGGGCGGTGTGTGTAGAGATAAATTATGTTATTGTATCCATATTTTTTATACTGTCTCTCATAGCCCTTTTAGGGCGGCCATTATACAGGATATGTTGTTTTAATCAAATATGGATTTATACTTGGATGTACGAATGGGTGAGACAAAAAAGACAATTTTTATCTCTCTTTGTCTCTGTATCGACCAAAACCATACAATTACACTTCCACACCCAAAATGATGATGTTGGATAACGCAAGCATAGCTAAAACGTTCTCCTGGATGCTTGTGGACCCTTGAACGACCATCAGAACTGTCCAGATGAAACCTGTGAACAATATACTGTCTCAGTCTTGTCATCTAGACCGCAGATGCTGTATACACAAAGCTAGGCGTCCCTGACGGTGACATGGACGCAAAATCTGGCTTATTGTTGGACCCCAACCGGTTGCGTACGAATCTGACACCAATTGGTCTCAACCCGTGCTGTTAATGTAGCAGTGTGGTATCGATTATGTAGATGCACCAACCGAATATGGTCGTCTAGTTTATGTGACGTCAAATGTGCTGGCAGGCCAGTGGCAAGATGTAGGTAACGCCTCAAAAGAGATGACATTATCTTTCGATGACCATTGAAACTTCGTCTTTGCGCCATTCCGGTTTGCAGCATACCCATGGCGCGTAGACGTTGATGTTCAGCTAGCCGTGGCATAGCGTAAGCGTTACTGACGGTTTAACAAAACTGTTTTATGAGCACCTGATAGCTCAACAATTATCTTGTGCCGTTCACATTCACAAACCACTTCTGTGTGAACTCCCAACTTGGGCCCGTGCAGGCAAACTGTGAATCACGACCTTAAGGTTGAGAAGTCTTAATGAATATCTTTTTAAAGTTGCATTATTTAATTTCAGATTAATTGTTTTCTTTTGTTTAAACTTTTTGTGGAGCACATTGTGACACAGGGCAAATGCAGATATCTCACCAAATGTTACGCCATTCCACATATTCATAATAAAAACGTTTGCATTACTAAATACCAATGATAAGTTCAGAAATGTACATTGCAGAAAACGTATTGTAAGATGCAAAGAACGTTATGAAAAAATATGTGACATGACTGTCAATACAGTACTAAGCCAGATATTCTGTTGATAAAAACCAGGTTGGCAATGGCGGCCGACCGACATATATTATGTCCGATGCAGTTCCCTATTTTGAATTGTACCATATGGTCCCTTTGAGGTGAACAATTGACTTGCCTTTGCATGTACTTGTAATTGGTGCCACCGGTGGGACAGGATACGCCCACCTTCTCGCAAACACCAGGTATCATCACTAGTTGATCGTGGTTCATAAACTCAGGCTCACGATACAGTCGGAATCGTACAATGGACTGTGTTTGTGGCAGAGATTTCTTATGAATATGGAAAGGGTTTTGTCGCTTTTATTTAAGTCTCATATTTAATTAATTTATTAAACACACGTCTTTTCCGATATCTTGGTAGATCCAAGCATAACCGTACCCATGTTAAATAATGACTGGTTTTACCACTGTTGCCCAAGAATATATTATGTTTTGCACATCAGAAAAAAATGAAGCATGTCACCACTTTTTATAGGAAGTGGGTAATCATACATGCGAATGTGTTAACTACGGTGGCCCATAAGGGACATGGAGTCTGTTTTTCAATATTTTGATATTTCACTTACTTTTATCGTAACCTTTTACAAATTAACACGATTTGTCATACAAACATGTTATAAATCATGTATCAAAACAACCGAAAACATGGAAAATGTTTAGATTAATATTTGTTATTTGTTCTATTTCATCATCTCCACATTTCCTAGATTCACATTTTTTCAGAGGACCACATTTTCTTCGGACAACTATTTTAGTTTTGCCAAGATTGACCGATAATTTCCATATGTCACAATATGATTTTAAAGTATTCAAATAATTCAGGAGTCTTATTAAGATATCTTAGAAAAGTACAATATCATCTGCAAATAGATCTGGATATATCTGCGTTACTCAATCGCTCAATCAAACTACAAAAGTCGAGTTGCCGGAACACTAGTGTTTGAAGCTGCAGTAAAATACCTTAATGGCCCCAAGACTCAGGGCCACATGTAGTGGCGTCTCTCACAAGCCGTGCGCTGAGACGTCCGTTGAGAATATGGCGTCAGAATCTATTATACACTTGTTGGATACACGTGTTGGATACGTATAATAAGAGTGAGTGAATATGGTTTCACGCCGTTTTTAGCAATATTCCAGCAATATCACGGCGGGGGACACCAGAAATGGGCTTCACACATTGTACCCATCTCGGGAATCGAACCCGGGTCCTCGGCGCGACGAGCGAACGCTTTAACCTCTAGGCTACCCGACCGCCCCCGTATAAAACAAGAGATAGGCAGGTATTTGATTCTTATATTTTTATATAGTGGACATATTAATAACACATGGTATTCATCTTCTTCGTAATACTTGCAGTAAGGACACATCGATGTTAAAACATCATTATCTTCAGAGTGTTTGTGTAACTGTATATTGAGGGTATGTTTACCACTCCTGAACTTCGTTAAATATCTGCGTAAACATATAGATCAAATAGTTGTAAAATACATTTCTGGTATTATTTCCATGTTAAACAGTGAATATACATGTATCGATTTTGAACATCTGATATCAGCCGACTAGCCTTGACAATACATATCTTTACATCGTCAGAATTTTATTTCCAATATCGGGGGCACGGGTGGTCCAGTCGTCTAAGACGCCGCGATTCGCTGTGCAGAGTTGCGTCCCTTGGGCACGCCTGAAACCTATGATTGTGGGTTCGAATCCTGGTTCTCCCCAATTATGTTTCTAGGTTTGTCAGCACCATACCCGTGCTCGTGGGTTTCACCGAAGTGGTAAACATCTGAGACCTGCATCACTTCGGGCTTTCCTCCCACATTAAGCTGACACGCCGCGATATAACTGGAATACTGTTTAAAGCGGCGTTAAACCAAAACTCACTCACTATTTCCAATATCCTGGGATATCCACGCAAATGCAAATCAGCAAATGCAAATCCATGCGAAAAAAATAAGGATTTCTCTAATGACTAATATCTCCAGAGTCATCAGGGCTTTTCGGCATGAAAAGCATCGTCTAGAGTATCGTGTATCTGGTTATCGGGGATAACTCTGCATTGATTGTTTACATATATCGGGGGCCTTCCGCGTTTTGCTAAAACTGCCTTATTTGGTGATCGGTAGCCGACGCAAAGAACAAATTTACAAAAATTTGGTATGATTTTTTTTAATACTGTGGCGATATAATATTAAAGGTTCCCCAAAGTTCCGAGCCGTACATCAGTATTGGTTGTATTTTACCATCAAATATCCTAAACAGCGATTCAACAGGTAAATTTCTAGATTTACTATCAAACTGCTTAACCAGATGAATTCCTTGATCTGCTTGCCTTGAAAGTACTTTACATGCGTGTGTATTTAAATATCGACATGAAATTGTCAAGCCAAGATATTTTTAATATGATACTATAATCAAGCTTTTGTCCCGTGTTTGGGAACTTGATTATACCCTAATAAGAAGAAGAGGAACGATTACGGTCAAGCAGTTTACTGTCACTGGTGTTGTGTCTTATAATACAGAATAAAAGAGATAGAATAGCAATACATGGTACACAGTATGAATACATGAAACATATAGAATAATGATCGAATAAGCAACGGTTATAATACTTGAGGGGGGAAGCTGGAAAGGTAGGGGATATAGCGGTGTCTAGCCGGTTGAGCCACATTTCAAACATGACTATTGCCGAATGCGCAAAATTTTCAGCTGTGTGCATTTCACCCACTCTAGCCGGCAATTAATT